GTTATAGTTGTATTAAATTTATTCAAAGCAACAAATATTCAAATAAAATACTAAATTTGATAGTTTAAATAATATGTGATTGCATCATGTATATTTTTAAATAATATTTGATTTTTTGGATTGTTTGGAATTTTTATAAAAAAAACAGTTTTTTTCAATAGATATATTACTATTAGATTTATAAATAACGAATTTAGTTAGTAAATTGAAATTCAAAAATTTTTAATGATAAGGATTTGAAACTATTTTCTATGATTTTTTTAAACATAATTCAATTTTTTTTTTTAATACCTATTTACACTGTTCTATCTTCTACGGTATGTAATATGGATTTAAAATCTACACTAATACTAATTTGTTAATATGGAACCTATAGGTATATGTTAGTATACTKATGTGATCTTCTTGGAAAAATTAGTTCAAAATACTTAATATACTATAGTAATAATAGATACTGTATTTGACMAATAATTTATTTATCACGATAATCACATAAATAAATAATAAAATAACCAATGCTCCACATTCCATTCTTGCAACTCAACTATCAAAATCAAATTTATTCTTATCTATTGTCACATTTTCACAAAGGCTAGAGAAGAATGTAAAATCACATACAACATTTATTAAACCAGAAAATGCAGAGACAGAAAAAATAATTACCTTCTAAAAAAAAATTGAGATGTCTAACTCAATATCATTTTAGTTTATCGTAAACATCTCTCTATGTACGAAATAATTTTAACCTAAACTAAAATTGCAAGCAAAAATATACCTAACCTAACCTGCAGTTGGTAGTTGTTCATTAATGCTAATGATAATATATATATATATATATATATACAATATCCTTAGAAATAAAGGCTGACACGCCATTTCCGATGAAAAATATTTTTCTCATTCAAAGATTCAAATTTAACACATTATAAATAATATGTTACAGTGCCACTCCTTCAATAAAGGGGTAAACGAAAAAATTACRATACATGACTATACATTATACTTTATTGGTGGATTTTTTTTTTTAATTAAATTGCCCAAATGTTTGAAAATTTAACGAGATCTATGATAATATGGATATTGAATAAAAATAAATTCCACTTTTGTGTTAAAACTAAAATCCGAAATTTTCCGTAAATATAATTTTAATATTTTTTTTCGTGATTTAGACTGATACCGTAGTTATATTATTACCAATCGATATTCCTGTGCAACTTATTATATAGATCGAGATGTTGCGGTGGCCTATTGCCATCCATTATTGCGACGGTGTAATTCCGTCGCAATGCGTACCTACTGCTGCAGCTAAATAGACAAAATTAATCCGACGACAAAAGGTTGGTCGACCACGTGATCGAATTGTGATTTCATCATCGTCATAGTTTTTTTTTTTTTTTTTTAAAAAAGAAAATAATATCGATACTATTATGTACAAAGAAAGACTTTAAACTATCAGAAGATGATGTTCAAAATTCCCGTCTTTTATTTGTTCATTCGATTTATTATCGTTATTTGTTCAACTTAACCGAACTGTTATATATAGTATATTATTATCRAACATTCAAACTAGGTACTTAAGTATTATCTTTTAAATCGGAAATTTTATAASTTATTCWACATTTAATTAACTATGGACAGTTTGGTAATTTATTATTAACGATTATTCTCTTTTGACAGTAAAATCATGATTAAAAATGCTATTMTTTGTTCAAATACGTTCAAAATGTTTYTAAATAATAACGTGTCAGTGAAAAAGCAGATTTATAATCTTAATCATCATTTTAACCAAAAATAAAGAATTTTTTATTTTAACTCAATGGCAGATCTTATGGTCAACACTCCATACCAAGCTCAATAAAATAAAATGTACAGTCTCCTTATGGTCATTCTTCTCATTACCAAGACGCCAGGAAGTAATTTTAAACAGACTACGGATAGCTAGGTCGCACACTTGCACATGGGTGACTCATAAACACCTTATGAACAGATCTGAACCTGACCAATGCCAAACTTGCGGTTAGGTTTAAATTCATCGAAATCAGATCTAAGCTCAATATAGAAGACAACATGGAAAAAACTCCAAGTCCACAGCCAATCAACATAGAAAAATTAATTAATTATTTAAAATTAACTAAACTATACCAACTAATATAATCTAGATATATTTCAATCTATTTTTTTTATAATATTATTATTAATGCTTCATACTTGTGTCAAAAAATGTTAATTTTTATAGTCAATAACCTTTGTTGTTGAGGCTTAATTAAAATAAAATAAAAATAATTATAATTTTTAGTAATATTAAGTAGGATGTATTCAAGATTTGTRTGAGTACGTAACGATAAATAATAAAAATATACTACTACACGGCTATGAACGATAAGATAATTTTTTGTTTTAATTTTTAATGCACMTAGGGTCAATATAAAAGTATTTATTAGAATCCACTCAGAAGTTTCCAAGAAATATAAAAACGCGTTAATAAAAACGCATTCCAATATCGAATACTTGGTCTTTTGCGCCCTTATTTCAGCTAGACGACCCCATCAGGCATACCGACGGCTTTAAATTAATTGATGACAACGTAATGCACCCTCAATCCCTTACTCATACTTGGAACTATTTTTTGAGAGTTAAGTTTTCGTCACAGCAATATTTGCATTGTATATTATAWTATATCTTTGGTTTAYAAAAGATATCTGTGAATGTATAATTGATCTCGATTTCAATCGTAAGTCATCTAGCACGCCCTAAACATGAAATAATATTATGTACATAGACTGTTTTTGTTTTTAAAGCCTAAATTAGTATAAATGCCGTATAATTTACATTAGAGCCAAAAATATTTTCTGAAAAAATAATTATTATTAGGTACATTGCTTACATTCAATTTTCCGATTCGTGTAAATCGATAAAATATACCAATTTACTTACTGCGTGGTTTACAGCTATAATATTAGTATTAAATATTGACTGCGTTGAAAATTAAACGTTTTAAACAAATTAAAAACAATAATAGAGACGTTCAATCAATCGGTTCATTACAAAGCTACACAGAACGGAATAATAGTTATAGTAGCTATTCTCGATACCGCTTAATTGCACGCCTGCATAAATAATCCGTCATATTTTTTATTTACTAAATRGTATGTAATTATATACCCAATGATAGTTTTAGTTTTATTTTTTTATTAAGACACATATTCCTTTCGCTACTTACCACAGAAAGATATTTAAACGTTGGCATTTATAACAAATATAGGCATCTAATATTAACTATTTCAACTGCATCMACCCTGTTAACTAAATTAACGTGAGGGTTTTACTGTGGAAACATTAAACTGTTATAAATTTGTATCTAAAATTGTCGTCTCTTAGTCGATGCATAATTTTTAATTGCGAATTTGTTTTAGTTTATATTAAGCCAATGCCATACTTAACAAAAAAATGGGATACGACATTATTTTTAGCTCTTGTTCAACTTTTGAAAATTCCTGATCATATATAGACTCCTGGATTTCTCCTCCCCTCCCCCCAATTACGGCATTGTATTAAACAGTTGTAAACAGAGCACGGTAGTTAACACGTAATTAACGTCTTGTCTAGTTTATTGTAATTATTACCACATTAAAATTGTTTCCTACACATTGTTGTACCGAAATTGCCTATACTATGCGCCGGCTTACGGATATAAATAATAATAATATATTATTATTAAAAAATACGTCAAGTATTTAGTATAAGTTTTAGAGAGTTGAACCAAGCTAAAGTAATGAATAAATCTGAATAAGAATAGTAAAAAACAAAAACTATAATATTCAAAAGTAATTTAATGAGAAATAGCTTTCCTACTTGAACAAAAAATTAAGAGAAACCACCAAGTATTATTTTAAGATGCTGTAACTTTTTTTGAAAGCTGAATTTTTTAAATCACATAAATTATTAATATGTTGTTTTTTATTTACTCTATAATAATTAAGTATAAGAAGAAACTTTTGAAAAAGTCATGAAAAATTTGATTTTAAATTAAACTTTTTAGAATTCTACAAATTTAGTTATTTTATTCCCATTTTGTATAATATTACTCTGAGATGTAAGGTACATGTTAAAATGTTATAATATTATATTATGTAATACGAGCTCGTCACTACTAGAATTATATTTGCGTATAATTCCTATTTTGATTGAAAGGTATCGATTTTATGAAACAATATGCGCGATTACTATTAGAATATTATAATATACAATGAGTATAAATGTATAATACCGTTTATTGCACTCGATTCACTGACAAGGTATCAATTATCTACAATGACAGCTTGTATTGTTATTATTATTACTATTATTGTTGTTATTATATAATATCGGTGTATACTGTATGGTAACGCAAGTACCTTATAATAATGTAATACTCATACTAAAGATAGAATCGTTCGGAACTCGACAGTTATCCTATCTATAACTATATGTCATTTGTTAGAATTATGAACGTGTAAACGATATCGTATATTATGTCTCGTAAAGTACTATATTATTGTCGCCTATATCAATATTAACACTCAATTTGCACGCCAACGTAGAAAAAAATTGTCAAAAAATTCTTTTATTTTTTTTTTCAAATTTTATACTCGTAAATTCAGAAAAAATATGATTGAAAGTAAATTTTGAATTTTAATTTAGTAAGATATTACCTTTTTTTCACATGATCGTGAGGTGTTTTTTTTTCACAAACATTAATAATGATTCAATTTTTTTTGGAATACGGCAACTCYTCCCCCTCATCATAGCTTTATTATTTTGAGGCACATATGTTTTTAATAATATTGTATTCGTTTATGTCGTTTTACACATAAACTTGGACTGTGTCTGTACATTAATTGTAGTTAATATTATATTATTGCGCATGTACGAGTTGTTCCTCAACGACTCACACATTTTTCAGCGTTCATAGTACCTACTTGTAATGATTTTTATTTATATTGTTTTTATTACTATTGCAGGGCGTACAGCTATCCCACGTGATGATTCCGGGAAAGTGACAGCGGATTAAGGAAAAAGAAATAAAGAAAATATTATCTTCGATCGGTTGATGGTGGAGAAATGCAGATGACCAGGACTTTAAACGATAAGATATGTCGTACGAAATACAAAAAAAAAACGATCATAATATTACTTATAATATATTATTATACTATATAATGTATTAATTATATTATGCTATAATATTATATAAATAAAACAACTGTAGCCGACATAAAAAAAAAATAATAATAATAATAATTTATGTTGTAAGAAAAAATATATAATAACCCTTGTATACTGAAAGAAATAATATTTATTATTGACTTGTATGATAAAATAGTGATTTTATTTATATAAAATTGAAATTTTCTACCGAATAAATCGTATTATAACTAAAAGTTCACAGCAACCCTCGTACTCTACCACCACTCTTTTCTAACCGACACTTCTACCACCGTATCCGGTCGCTGAGCACGAGAAGTTAAAAACAAATATGGCTAGGGCAAGGAGATTTGCTGATAATGGAAATGTAACTCAATCTAAACAAGAAACGTGTTTACTTAAGTCTGACGCGCGCATGTGTAGTTTTGATATTATACAAAGTGTATTATGGCCTCTTGTGGCAGGGAAACATTGGTATCCTCTCTCCAGCGAAGATGACAAGACAGAATCATTTTTCTCCTTTCCTTTTCCACCCAATGTATGGTTATATGATACCCGACGCTTCGGCATGGCTCGCATAAAATGGGAAAACGAAAATCGTTTTATCGTCTCTCCAACAGATTACTTTTTAAAATTAGAATCCGCACCGTCTCGTAAACATTTGATTTCGTATCAGTTAGCTTATAATATAAATTTAAGAAAAAATATATAAGCTCTTGCGCGGTATATTGCGCACCATATTTTATTTTATTTATTTTTTTTTAAATTCATTTCAGCTATCCGAGCATTATTGTTTTCCAGAAACAAAATTCATTGATCTCTAGAGCTAATTCTTGAACAAATACTCATTACCATGCCAAAACTTCAATACCTATATTAAAATGTATTATTTAAAAGACAATTTTTAATTATTGAAAAATATATTTTATCAGTCAATTTTTCAGTAGCGCTTATACATTTATACGAGAAAAAAGCAATTATTCTTTGGGTGTGTATTGAATCTACCGCGCATTAAAAATATATTTTATATAATTTATGATTGAAATTATAATTTATACAAGTGTTGACACTTTATTCGTTGTGTAATCTATATTATTTTAATTATTATTTTGAATTATATATATTTTTTTAAATAAATTGTATCTACTAATTATCATGTTTTAATCGCATTGCATTGATGCACTTATATCATATTATTATGAATCTTGATAAAAGCATTTTTAATAAACTTTACTTTTTATACTAACTTACTAATTTTATACAGTCATGAATTTAATATTATGACTTATGTAATAAATTAATTTGTTTGATACAAAATTCTAATAAAATATAAACGCAGTCTTGAATCAAAATCTCTAGCCAAAGCTTGAKGCTATAGTTTCTTCGATTTATGTAAATTTAAAACTCAGTGAAATCGATAGGTAGACATTATAAAGTAACTATCATCTATATGAACACTATCCTAATCGGAGTCGATATAATAAACTTTTATTAAAACAGCAGGTTGTTTTGGTGGAATCGATTAATATATTATGTATTTTATTTCATCATGATATTCTTAAAAAGTATTTTATTTTTGTTTAAAATAATATTATTATCCTTAACTGTAATGCAATATACTGAAATATAATATATTTGTTACGTTTAGAACCATTAAACACGTCGTACGATAAAATAAATTACCTGTGTGTTATCTATACACGATATACGTTCGTAAAAAATGCTACGTTTGTGAGACCTTCACCATGCTTTGTATATTATAATAGCTGCAATGGTGATGATGGAGCCATCATAGTCACGTGTTAATAAATTGAATGCTTCTTGCACCACGCTATAAATCTTTATTATCATTATTACTATACAAATATGATATCATTGAATCAAATTGAATGGTATCCAACTATGATTATTGTTATTTCTATTATTATTATTATTATCATTTATCATTGCTGTTGTTGCTAGTGAATCGATTAGTGTGCTATAGAATTTATAACCATTATGGGTTACACGCGGAGGTATACTGAAACCGTTTGTTAATAATTATTAAAATTTAATGAACTCCTCTTCCTTGCTATAAAATACAGATTTTTACTAATAATTACTATACCATAATGACAATAACCCCCTTATATCGTATTAATATGTGGTAAAGAGGTTTAACATGTGTCCAGTTCACGCATTTCATACACCCAAATACAAATTTGTTGACTAGACTATGACGTAATTCGGTGATAACGATGAAATTCAAAAATTAAAGAACAAACTGTTTTTAAAAATCTATTTCGCATAATATTTCTGAAGGCTGGTACATACTTCAGAGTTTTATTTAACAGGTAAGTCGAATACGGATTAAAAAGGTCGACAACGTGCGATAGTCTGCATCTTGAGCGTCCCATATGTATACCTTTTTTTCAAACTTAATTGCGTCTCAAAAATCAAAACTAACAAAAAGATTATTTGAACGCATTCCTTTAATGATATATTTAAATTATTGTGCATACCTAATTGTTTATTATAAAAACATTTTTTTTTCTTTTTTGAAAAATTCTGATTATATTAGTTGAATAAATATTGCAGACTATTTAGTTGTTACATACAATTYAATTTTGATTTCAATTAAAGTGGATATACATATTAATTAATTTATCAAAATATTAAATTATTATTCCTTGTTTTAATATATACCTAAATATATATATATGTATTAAACACGTACTAGAGTCTAGAATAAATATTTTATATAAATGTGCATCAAAATATTAATATGGTTAATGAGTATGTCGACTTAGAACTACGATATGTTAATCTTATAACCTCAAACTTTTTAAAAAAGGTTATCGTTCGCACATTTCCGTGAAACATCGACACCACACCGCGGTTTTACCCAAATCACTTTGTTCAATATTGCACACACTGTTGAATATATTATAATTAATAACACATACTTATATTCAAATTTACATCATCGTTTAGAACAGAACATTTTAAATTCTTGGAATTACATTTTTACTGCCAAGAATCGACGTGTCGTATGCGCACCTTTCAGGTGGTATACGTCTATCGACCCTGGAGTAGTAACCAAAAGACCATAAATTAACCAATTACAATTTGGCTTTCAATCTCTAACGACCATAAATTAATCGGTTATAGATCATATTGAAAGAATACAATTGAATACCTTTACCACTTAAACCTTAAATCTTCAATTACCATAAATTAACCGGTTACATATCGGATTCAAGGAGTACGGAATAATTTTGTGACTACTCAAACAAAAGATATATATTTTTTAAGGTTGGAAACACTTTTATTAATAATCAGAAACAATACAAAAATTAAAGCACTTATGATATTTAGTCCGTAATTAACCATCATCGCATCACACGCACGATCGTCGTACAGAATGCTCACGCTGTAAACTCTCAACGTAAACTGGCCCCTTGCTTGTGTGTGCAACGATGTTACCTATATACGTAAATCACATTGTCACATCAGTCAGCACATTTTGCTTCATTGGCCTGATTTTTTTTTAATATCGGACTTTTCCAACCATATATTTTTAATAACATTATATTTATAAAATCTGTCCACAGTATACGACAGACGACAAATATTCGTAATATTCGTAACTTTTAGACTTCGCATGATGTATTTCATGAAAAAATGTTTGCAAAATATGATGAAGGTTTTCAGTAAATAGTAAGTTTACCAAAAAAAAAAACTTATCGACTTTTTCGTAAAAATAAATATTTTATGATACTTGGCTTAATCTATGGAGAATAAAAATAAATGAAAACAAATCATCACATATCACATTTACGCTTCGACCAAATAACAGCCCCTCGGTTACTCTCAATAACGAAACTATCCCTAGAGAAAGTTTAGTAAAATATCTAGGTATTCATCTAGACCAAAGATTAACATGAGCCACTCACATCAAAAAATAGAAAAAAAATTTGGGAAAAAATT